GCATGTGTGTGGGAAGAAGGATCGGCGGTGTTTAGGGAAGCTTTGCTGTCTCGGCTGAAGGCTGAATTGGAGCTAGCTATTTTCTCCTGGGTCACCGTGTCCTACTTTTTAGCGGCGCTGAAGGCTGAGCCCTTGCCAGTCTGCCTGCCTATGGAGGCTTACATGGTCGGCAGCACAACACAGAGCGGAAAAACAGCAGCTGAAAGGGTCCCCCTAAAACTCAAGTGCAGTAAATGATGAAAAGAGGGGTCTGAGTTAAGAAATGCTTCTCCCGAAAGCTCAGGCTCCCCTTGCTGGGCTTCCCCAGTGCCCCGCGGCCCCATGTGCCACGTGCCCTGCGATGGTGTGATGAGCAGCTGGGGGCGCTAGCACCCCTATATCGCTTAATTAAATGGGGCATTTAGTCTTACTTACTGAAGACTAAAGACCTCTAACACAAAAAAAAAATGGTAGTTACCTTTGAGTGTTTGCTCTAATGACAGAAAAAAATCTTTTTTTTTTTTTTGTTCTATATCATTCTAAACAAAAATGCTCATTTTTTACCTGCTCATTTTCTGCACTGCTCTCTAAGCGCTAGGCAATATGATGTGGTGCCTCTATGGAAAAAGATAAACTATCATTCAGCTTTTACATCCAAAAATTCCAGCACTGTGACTGAAGTATATCTCTCCATTTAAAAAAAAAGATGGGAAGAAGAAGCTGTCACTTATGCTTATCTGCATAAGTTATGCAAAAAGATGCACTGTCTGATAGTAATTTCAATTTGAAAAGAATCGGACACTGTGAATCTCAATTAAATTTACGGAGCATAGTTTAATTTTCATTTATTAGTGCTTGTTTTTGAAAATTTATTATATTATTACAGGAGGACATAGAGCTTATTTGTACACATGGGAAATCAGGCATGAGAGTAGCATTATGCTCTTTTTTTCCCTCTCTTTCTCTTTTAATTCAAAATACCTTTTGAAATTTAAAATAGACAAATTCAGAAAGTTCTCATTTCTAACATTTGTGGCCTCTTTGTACGCAGTCTCTTGTGACAGCTTTATGATTTATTTAATCATGAAATAGAAAGGAGGTGAGGGAGAAAGACGTTTTGGTCACAGACTCTACTTGAATAAAAATGATTTTCTCCTCCAGAAGTAGTGGGATGGCTGTTTAGACAGTTTATATGTCTTTATCCTTCATGTGGAATATCAGGTCATTGCCCTTTGTCCTGCTTGTGTCATAAGCCATATAACAAAACTACTCAAAATATATACCACCAATAATAATAATTAATAATAATCATAATATAAATGCACTCATGACCATCAGCATAAAATGGGCATATAATTTATTATTTTCAGGCTATTTAAATAGAAGGTTCTGATATGGATTTCCTTATTTTTCAGCAGCAATAAGAGGTCAGTTCCACCTATTAATCAAAAAAAATTCCTCTGGAATACAGGAAGATATGGTTATCAGCTAGGATATGGCAACAAGAGATGCAGCCAGCAAATGTATAGATTGCTTGGTCTAAGAAGGGCT